GATGATAAAACAAATGAAGTGTGTAAATAAATGATAAACGTAAGTGGTAATCTACATCAGAGAGTGGGATGTTTTATGTGCTTGATATACATACTTCACAAAAAATAAGTGTTTTGGCCAGGATAGATAGATATTTCCGAAACAATTGCCTGAATAATTAATAAAACAAGTGAAGCATTTAGTTAAGCGATACATATGTCACATGAAACGCTTACCTACATTTTTATGCATTTACATCTGTCAGACAATGCTCAGTAACAGATACTTAGCTGTTTTTGAAAATGTATCAATAACTTTTTAATCGATGTGCAGAGTTGCACCTCTTCGGCCTCCCAGAATCCTATTATCTTGGGTTCGAATCCAGGTTTCGCCCTGATTATGATGTTTGATTTGTCAGCACCATACCAAGCTCGTGTATTTCGACAGAGCGGTAATTGATCATATCACTTCGGTCATGTGTGTGGTATAACTGAACAACTGTTCAAGGTCGCATTAGTTCAAATAGATTCACTCACTTGCCCAGGAAAAAATAATGTCGAGATATCACTCATAACTATGTCTTTACAACAATTGCGATTCGTTCTGTGAGCAATCCTAAAGCTTGTCTGAAGTCAAATGTTGATGTCACCACAGGAAACACTCAGCAACATGGCGCTGAGTCAATCCTGAGCAGGACATCATGTCTTCTTGACACTTGCACAAAGCGAGCTTAGTCCTTTTAGCCTATGTTAATATTTATGAGTCATCTTCGATAATTATTTCCTGGTCCTGTTATCTGTTGAACAACATCTTTAGCGGTCCTAAGTCCATCCTTCCAATGTTAGGTCCGGATGTACAGATCCTGAACTGGTGCTGCCACGTTAATTAACACCTTCTGGTGATAACGCCTTCTTGTATTAATGTTTCTGACCTCAAACAATTATGTCTGCTTAGACTACTTAGATGACAATCATATAATCTGGAGTGATCTGGGTGCTGCCTCTAGTGCTGTACAAGCGTATGAATGGTGAAAAAGAATGAATATTTAATTCACTACAGACCAATAATATGTCATTGTCACAGGTTGAGTTTTCTTGTCAAGAATCAATATGACACATGTTTTACACTTGGGTATGTTATTATTAGTCCAATCAAATCAAGTCCATTGTGTCAAAGGTCAAGCCGTGATATTGTATAAATATAACAATATAAACAGAAATATAATATCCTCACACGCAAAAGAAACGCAAGTGGTTTTAATCAAATAGGTAACAAACAAGGAACCATAATTTGATATGAGTTTTAGCATGTAGTGAAGCCTGATGGTGTTATTAATATTTGTGGCTGCATTTTGGAAGCCCCGAGTAAAAACGCAACATAAAAAACGAATTGCCAAAACGCACCATTTCAATAAATATGTGGGTTACATGCACCCATTTCTCGCGAAATCGAAAATGCACGAACTGTCACGAACTGTAGTGGGTATAAAACTGTGGCCGATTCTTGGACCTACCACTCCTTGGTCAACAATGCCACGCCTAACTCAAATTCAGAGAAACCAGGCTATCAGACGTTTGGAAGCTGGAGAGTCTGTCCAAGATGTTGCCCGTCATGTCAACGTTAACATAACCACAATTTACCGTCTCCTGCATCGTTACAATGCTACACAGACCACAGATGACCTTCCTCGGAGCGGTCGTCCTAGGGTCTCCACACCTCGACAAGATCGGCAGATTACCCGTCAATACCAGCGGCATCCGTTCCTAACTGTTCCTAATCGACACATTAGCCGGGACACTGTGATCCGAAGTCTCCGTTCCAACAACCTCAGATGTCGCCGACCAGCACGTCGTCCTGTTCTCCAACCTCGGCATCGACAAGCACGACTTCAGTGGGCATAGGGTCATCACAATTGGCGTCATCGTGAGTGGAGGCGTGTCATCTTCTCTGATGAAAGTCGCTTTTGTTCCTCCCATGCAGACGGAAGAGTCAGAATTTGGCGGTGTCGAGGTGATCGTTTCGCTGACAGAAACGTTATGGAAAGGGATCCATGGGGTGGACCTAGCGTCATGATATGGGCAGGGATTGGACTTAATGCGAGACTTGGACCCATGTGCTTTCTGAATGTTGGTCAAGGTCGGGGACACGGCGTCACTGCTCAGCGGTATATCGACCAAGTGATCAGACCCGACGTTGTTCCATGTTTGCACAACATAGACAACACATTTTCCAGCAGGACAACGCTCGTCCCCATGTTGCCAGAGCTACCATGGCCTTTCTGCAACAACACAACATCCGTGTGTTACCGTGGCCAGCCCTCGGTCCTGATCTGAACCCCATCGAACACTTGTGGGATAAGGTTCAAAGGCGTCTGCACAATGTGCGCCCAGTCCCTACAGCTGCCGATGAACTACGCACAGCTGCTCTGGATGTGTGCAGGAGGATCCCTAGGGCCTTCACAAATCGTCTGATCCACTTAATGTACAGGAGATGTGTGGCAGTGATCAATGCTAATGGTGGTCACACCAGGTATTGACTGACATTTTGGGTATTGACCCGAAACTGTGTAAGCCCTTAACATTTGATAAAAACAATTATATCATCTGCCTTTTAATCCATTAAACTGTCTTCAGTCAAATTTTTGTCAATCTTGCCAAATTAGTATTTCTTGTCTTTACTGTTATAAATAACATGTATACTGCATACTCGACTTGCGTTTCTTTTGCGTGTGACTATATATCTAATCTGTCTGTCCCTATACAAGAGTAGTTATTGTCAAAACATAACCATCGAAATAGGATTCGGAACTTTGTATTTCTATGTCAGGTACACACCACTATAGACAGAATCAACATCACACTTGTTGCCATGAAAACAGAAAGAATATAAATTATAAACACCCCTAAGTAGCAAAAGGCACCATTTGACAACCTGGTCTTTGTGTGTGCATAGTTTCAAGAAAGAGTACCTATTTGTTTTAATGATATGGTCCGGACAAACACACCACTATGAACAGAGTCAAAGTCAAACTTTTTACCATGGAAACAGGGAAAAATATTTCTTTACAAATCCTAAGTAGCAAAAGGGACCCTTGATTAATACATGTACCAAGTTTGGATGAAACATGTTGAAAAGTTTTTTTCCAGCTAACTTGTTTCCATGGAAATATAGAATAGTCGCCTTTTACGTCAAGCATGAGTTGCTGAAGACCTATTCTAACCCGGGTCTTTACAGGTCGGTTTCAGATCAAGACTTTGTATTTTGATTAGGTGATAATCATACTGTGAACATTCTGTGTTTTCAATGTAGAGCCAGGTTACCTGTAGATTTAACCGAGCTCAATTGATATTGGAACCGAACGAGCAGCGTGAGGTTTCAAATGTTAAATTTGAAGCCCAGGTGCACAGCTATGGTGCTGATATACCAAGGAATATTATCAAAATGAAGCAGGGGTGTCGAACGCACGATCAGCATCTTGGTACGGAGCTTTGCACTAGTTACTTACATGCCTATACGATTATATTGTCGTAATATTTGAAAGAATTAAAACCAACAATAAACTCACCAGTGCAAGGCTTGCATTCTGGACTGCTGGTGGATCAGAACATACACACGTGTGGTTGGACCCATTTTCCCGGCACACTGTGGTTGATGGACAAGAATGACCCTCACATTTCCCCGCAATATGTCCTGACCAAGACTTGATGTCCGAATAGACATACTGAGCAGTGGTTAGAAGATTCGAATCAAATGTCTCAGAACTGGTGGTGTCCAGTAGGTCACACTGACCAGCGTTAAGGTTGAAGTTAAATGACTGACATCTGGACCTTATCTTGCATTCCTTGACACATTGAAGGAGGCCGGAGTTGTTCAGAGACAAAAACGTTTTCACCTTGAGCCGAGCATTTTCTTGCAGGGATTGTTTCAAGTTTGAAAAGTCGGTGCAAGTTTCCCTTGCTGTGACCATTAGCAGTTGAATAATGAATATTACGAAAACACTCATTATAGAATCGCAACAATTTGTACAGCCTTTCGTTTGCAAAGTAGCTAACTAGTGACTCAATACACCGTCCCTCTACTGCTCCTATTGATTTGGCTGGGATTCGAGCGAAAGTCAGGGATGAAATACTTCTGAGGTGCTGCCCTCTCAGACATCATACATAATTTACAGTGAATATTGCAGTGTAGCCAATCACACTGGCTGTTAGTGATAGGTGGAGTTGACTTCGTTACAGACTAATTACATTCCATATTACCATTATACAACAGTAAATATTCTTTTGGTTCATTCATATGAAATTCACGGCTTCATGTTATATAGGTATGAATAATGGGGATGTGCTTACAGGAGGGAAGTAGAAAAGCACGTGTTAGGAAATTACTAAAGAATTTCAAACTCACTTTCAACATTAAAACAAACATTATTTGCAGGTATAAGGGGGCATATAATTACAACGTTCGTAGCTAATTATTCAACTGCTCTCTTAAGGTTCAACCTGTCAATAATTAATAAAGTGAACAATTTTCTTCAGATTGAATGCCGACTCTAAACATGTAGTCATAACAAACATCACCACGATAGAACAGCTGACTCCTATAGAAAAATATACGGCAATCGTTTCAACCTAGCGACTTCCATTTCAGACTACGCTTGAAAAATATGTTGACACAGTTCTCGATTAAAATTTTGAAAACTGAACAAACGAATATTCCGGAATGTTTTATATATGGTTGATATTGTATGGCAGTGCTTCCCACGTACCGTGCAACGCCTCTTCCGTTCAAATATTTATCCCATGGAAGCGAGAGATAGACGATGATTTTGACGGAATCAGCCGTACGGGCCGTAACTGTCGTTCGGAATACCCAGTGTTAACGTTTTCGAGGTTACATGATCAGAAAACACATTCCGACTGTCACTTTCATGATCTGGTAAGCGACGCTTTGATTGGTCGGATGAAAGGTCGTTTCTAATAATTTGCTAGAAGTGGAGAAAATGTGCATCAGTTGTTCGTACCTTGGTGTCGGTGCTTTGTTACCTGGGGTTTGATATGAATTGGATGAAAGTCGAGAGACCTGTGACAAATCACGTTTTCTTAGGTGTTGAGATTAACACGGAAGCTATGACCTTATCACTACCGAGAGAAAAGTGTGGTGACTTTCTTGTGCTCCTGAAAGATTTTCATAACAGGCCTAGGGCAAGCAGGTGTCAGATTAATTAAGCTTAATTGGTAAGCTGAGCTGGGCGTCCAAGGTCGTGCTAGGGGAAATAACGTTTATGAGGAGACTTCTAGATTTGAAGAATTCATTGGCAGGCAGAAATAACAAAGTTCAGTTTGATACAGATTTTCATGATGATATAAGCTGGTGGTGTGAATTTATGCTTACATTTAATGCATGTAGGTGCATAATCAGATGTTTACAGATGTTTGTCAAAGTGTAGCGGCTGCATACTGTGATGGAGGTAATGCTAATTGGAATTGCTGGAGCAGACAAACAGATCAATGTGAAAGAGATCATGGCTCTTGTGTTCGTGGTGGATCGCTGGAAAGGTGTTTTACAAGATGTCAAGGTAATTGTGCATACGGACAACATTACATGTAAGACAGCGATAAACAAGGGGACTGTGAGGAATGGCTTTACCATGACATACATTAGTATCTGTTTTGGTTTCATGAATTGTTCAATATTTAATTACAAGCAGTGTACACCGAAGGACACACACACACACACACACACACATTACATATTCATCATATATAAAGACTACCATATCACGATAGCCTTCCCTTCAATGACAAAGAAACGTCCTGCCATGGAAATTCAAACACATGCTGGCACACTCGCCGAGTCTACATCGGGAATGTTCTGTTCTTTCAGCGAAAAGCCGAATTTCAGCGTGGTTCCTTTATGGGAAGAGTAACAGGCTTCACATTGTCCGTTACATTTCCCATGCATCACTGAGTGGTTGGATGAGTAGACGATATCTGCATTTCCTTTGAGGGTGGTTTGACTGCTTACTTTGAAGCTAGTTCCTACTAGATTAACTTGCATAGTACCACAGTCGCTGTCGGCGTTTGAGCTGCAGCCCATAATACGCCCGTAAGGACCAGGTTTACAAGACCAGTCAGCAAACGTGTGGTCCAGTTCAATTTCAAGATTGTCCAGGTCAATCTTGATCTTGGAGAAGTTTGTCCGTCCACAGTAAAAGTCAGTGCAGCCGGTTGGCATCACGGAGTAGTTGTCTTCCTGGAAGGTGACGAAGTGTCCGGGAGTATCAGATGACATGTCATGGCAGTAGATCTTGACCCTGGCGTTGTTGTACTTCTCCAGGACAACCCAGTACTCTCCATCACCGTAGGCGTTGTTGCAAGTCTTCACCTGGCTGCAGTCTGTGACCAACACACAAGAGAAGTCCGTCCACGAGCCATCGGACTGGCAGACGCGCCGACCTCGGGGACTAAATGGGGGCTCACATTCATACGTCACCTCCTCCCCGATCTCCCACATCATCTGACTCTGGGCGGTCTGTAAACATACATCACATCTCATGTCATGTCAACTCATCTCAATGCCGAACAAAATATGTTGGTCCTACTAATTAACTTTATATGTTCTTATTATGAATGAGTCATTAATAGTAACCAAAGGAAGGTCGTTTGATCTCATTTTGACTGAGTGTCATCGGCTCTTTTTCGTTTTAAGTGAAAGGGGATAAGGTTCGGATAATTGGCAGCGTTAGCATGTTTGAGTCAAGTCGTCCAAACACATCTCCTGTCATGTCAGCTCATCTCAATGCCAAACAAAATATTTTAGTCCTACTTTTTATGTGTTTTAATTAGGCATGAATCACTTAGGATAAATAAAGGACGATCGTTTGATCTCATTTTGAATGATTGTCATCGACTCCCATTACTTTTTGTGAAAGCGGATTGGGTTGGGGTAATTGGCAGTGTAAGCAAGGTTGATTCAAGTCATTCAAATACGGTTTGTCAGCTTATTCAAAGGTAATTAGTTACCCTAATGTTATTATCCTGATCACAAACAGAGAGTGTCTTGATTTTACTAATCTAAATGTTGTGCATTCCATCGGTTGTGCAAGAATTCGGTGACCTATGGTTTAGGTCATAGATTTGTCCAAATTACGATCCCTTATATCTGATTATGATGGTCCGCATCATACCGGTGCTCGTAGGTTTCACCAAAAGAAGGAAATGTCTGCATTTTTCCTCCCACATCAAGCTGACACCCCCTGACATAATTAAAATACTGTTCAAATCAATGCTGATACCGCCTAACAGAACATGGACAATGGATCATCTTAAAAATTCAAACTGCTTCTTTCTGCTTCAATACTGAAACAATATTATTGTTGCCTGAATTCTGATGAGAAATGTTAGAAAGCCACAATAGTGGTTTGGGCAGAAAGGATCTGCTGGCGACCCAGATACTGTTGCTGAGAGATAAGGTTGCTGATATATATTTATTTAACTGATTATTGATCTTTTACGAGTGTTTTATAATAATTTTGAAAAACAATGCAGTTTAGTAATGGGTGGATAATTTTCCGAAATAGTCTGCTATCAATAGATGATAAAACAAATGAAGTGTGTAAATAAATGATAAACGTAAGTGGTAATCTACATCAGAGAGTGGGATGTTTTATGTGCTTGATATACATACTTCACAAAAAATAAGTGTTTTGGCCAGGATAGATAGATATTTCCGAAACAATTGCCTGAATAATTAATAAAACAAGTGAAGCATTTAGTTAAGCGATACATATGTCACATGAAACGCTTACCTACATTTTTATGCATTTACATCTGTCAGACAATGCTCAGTAACAGATACTTAGCTGTTTTTGAAAATGTATCAATAACTTTTTAATCGATGTGCAGAGTTGCACCTCTTCGGCCTCCCAGAATCCTATTATCTTGGGTTCGAATCCAGGTTTCGCCCTGATTATGATGTTTGATTTGTCAGCACCATACCAAGCTCGTGTATTTCGACAGAGCGGTAATTGATCATATCACTTCGGTCATGTGTGTGGTATAACTGAACAACTGTTCAAGGTCGCATTAGTTCAAATAGATTCACTCACTTGCCCAGGAAAAAATAATGTCGAGATATCACTCATAACTATGTCTTTACAACAATTGCGATTCGTTCTGTGAGCAATCCTAAAGCTTGTCTGAAGTCAAATGTTGATGTCACCACAGGAAACACTCAGCAACATGGCGCTGAGTCAATCCTGAGCAGGACATCATGTCTTCTTGACACTTGCACAAAGCGAGCTTAGTCCTTTTAGCCTATGTTAATATTTATGAGTCATCTTCGATAATTATTTCCTGGTCCTGTTATCTGTTGAACAACATCTTTAGCGGTCCTAAGTCCATCCTTCCAATGTTAGGTCCGGATGTACAGATCCTGAACTGGTGCTGCCACGTTAATTAACACCTTCTGGTGATAACGCCTTCTTGTATTAATGTTTCTGACCTCAAACAATTATGTCTGCTTAGACTACTTAGATGACAATCATATAATCTGGAGTGATCTGGGTGCTGCCTCTAGTGCTGTACAAGCGTATGAATGGTGAAAAAGAATGAATATTTAATTCACTACAGACCAATAATATGTCATTGTCACAGGTTGAGTTTTCTTGTCAAGAATCAATATGACACATGTTTTACACTTGGGTATGTTATTATTAGTCCAATCAAATCAAGTCCATTGTGTCAAAGGTCAAGCCGTGATATTGTATAAATATAACAATATAAACAGAAATATAATATCCTCACACGCAAAAGAAACGCAAGTGGTTTTAATCAAATAGGTAACAAACAAGGAACCATAATTTGATATGAGTTTTAGCATGTAGTGAAGCCTGATGGTGTTATTAATATTTGTGGCTGCATTTTGGAAGCCCCGAGTAAAAACGCAACATAAAAAACGAATTGCCAAAACGCACCATTTCAATAAATATGTGGGTTACATGCACCCATTTCTCGCGAAATCGAAAATGCACGAACTGTCACGAACTGTAGTGGGTATAAAACTGTGGCCGATTCTTGGACCTACCACTCCTTGGTCAACAATGCCACGCCTAACTCAAATTCAGAGAAACCAGGCTATCAGACGTTTGGAAGCTGGAGAGTCTGTCCAAGATGTTGCCCGTCATGTCAACGTTAACATAACCACAATTTACCGTCTCCTGCATCGTTACAATGCTACACAGACCACAGATGACCTTCCTCGGAGCGGTCGTCCTAGGGTCTCCACACCTCGACAAGATCGGCAGATTACCCGTCAATACCAGCGGCATCCGTTCCTAACTGTTCCTAATCGACACATTAGCCGGGACACTGTGATCCGAAGTCTCCGTTCCAACAACCTCAGATGTCGCCGACCAGCACGTCGTCCTGTTCTCCAACCTCGGCATCGACAAGCACGACTTCAGTGGGCATAGGGTCATCACAATTGGCGTCATCGTGAGTGGAGGCGTGTCATCTTCTCTGATGAAAGTCGCTTTTGTTCCTCCCATGCAGACGGAAGAGTCAGAATTTGGCGGTGTCGAGGTGATCGTTTCGCTGACAGAAACGTTATGGAAAGGGATCCATGGGGTGGACCTAGCGTCATGATATGGGCAGGGATTGGACTTAATGCGAGACTTGGACCCATGTGCTTTCTGAATGTTGGTCAAGGTCGGGGACACGGCGTCACTGCTCAGCGGTATATCGACCAAGTGATCAGACCCGACGTTGTTCCATGTTTGCACAACATAGACAACACATTTTCCAGCAGGACAACGCTCGTCCCCATGTTGCCAGAGCTACCATGGCCTTTCTGCAACAACACAACATCCGTGTGTTACCGTGGCCAGCCCTCGGTCCTGATCTGAACCCCATCGAACACTTGTGGGATAAGGTTCAAAGGCGTCTGCACAATGTGCGCCCAGTCCCTACAGCTGCCGATGAACTACGCACAGCTGCTCTGGATGTGTGCAGGAGGATCCCTAGGGCCTTCACAAATCGTCTGATCCACTTAATGTACAGGAGATGTGTGGCAGTGATCAATGCTAATGGTGGTCACACCAGGTATTGACTGACATTTTGGGTATTGACCCGAAACTGTGTAAGCCCTTAACATTTGATAAAAACAATTATATCATCTGCCTTTTAATCCATTAAACTGTCTTCAGTCAAATTTTTGTCAATCTTGCCAAATTAGTATTTCTTGTCTTTACTGTTATAAATAACATGTATACTGCATACTCGACTTGCGTTTCTTTTGCGTGTGACTATATATCTAATCTGTCTGTCCCTATACAAGAGTAGTTATTGTCAAAACATAACCATCGAAATAGGATTCGGAACTTTGTATTTCTATGTCAGGTACACACCACTATAGACAGAATCAACATCACACTTGTTGCCATGAAAACAGAAAGAATATAAATTATAAACACCCCTAAGTAGCAAAAGGCACCATTTGACAACCTGGTCTTTGTGTGTGCATAGTTTCAAGAAAGAGTACCTATTTGTTTTAATGATATGGTCCGGACAAACACACCACTATGAACAGAGTCAAAGTCAAACTTTTTACCATGGAAACAGGGAAAAATATTTCTTTACAAATCCTAAGTAGCAAAAGGGACCCTTGATTAATACATGTACCAAGTTTGGATGAAACATGTTGAAAAGTTTTTTTCCAGCTAACTTGTTTCCATGGAAATATAGAATAGTCGCCTTTTACGTCAAGCATGAGTTGCTGAAGACCTATTCTAACCCGGGTCTTTACAGGTCGGTTTCAGATCAAGACTTTGTATTTTGATTAGGTGATAATCATACTGTGAACATTCTGTGTTTTCAATGTAGAGCCAGGTTACCTGTAGATTTAACCGAGCTCAATTGATATTGGAACCGAACGAGCAGCGTGAGGTTTCAAATGTTAAATTTGAAGCCCAGGTGCACAGCTATGGTGCTGATATACCAAGGAATATTATCAAAATGAAGCAGGGGTGTCGAACGCACGATCAGCATCTTGGTACGGAGCTTTGCACTAGTTACTTACATGCCTATACGATTATATTGTCGTAATATTTGAAAGAATTAAAACCAACAATAAACTCACCAGTGCAAGGCTTGCATTCTGGACTGCTGGTGGATCAGAACATACACACGTGTGGTTGGACCCATTTTCCCGGCACACTGTGGTTGATGGACAAGAATGACCCTCACATTTCCCCGCAATATGTCCTGACCAAGACTTGATGTCCGAATAGACATACTGAGCAGTGGTTAGAAGATTCGAATCAAATGTCTCAGAACTGGTGGTGTCCAGTAGGTCACACTGACCAGCGTTAAGGTTGAAGTTAAATGACTGACATCTGGACCTTATCTTGCATTCCTTGACACATTGAAGGAGGCCGGAGTTGTTCAGAGACAAAAACGTTTTCACCTTGAGCCGAGCATTTTCTTGCAGGGATTGTTTCAAGTTTGAAAAGTCGGTGCAAGTTTCCCTTGCTGTGACCATTAGCAGTTGAATAATGAATATTACGAAAACACTCATTATAGAATCGCAACAATTTGTACAGCCTTTCGTTTGCAAAGTAGCTAACTAGTGACTCAATACACCGTCCCTCTACTGCTCCTATTGATTTGGCTGGGATTCGAGCGAAAGTCAGGGATGAAATACTTCTGAGGTGCTGCCCTCTCAGACATCATACATAATTTACAGTGAATATTGCAGTGTAGCCAATCACACTGGCTGTTAGTGATAGGTGGAGTTGACTTCGTTACAGACTAATTACATTCCATATTACCATTATACAACAGTAAATATTCTTTTGGTTCATTCATATGAAATTCACGGCTTCATGTTATATAGGTATGAATAATGGGGATGTGCTTACAGGAGGGAAGTAGAAAAGCACGTGTTAGGAAATTACTAAAGAATTTCAAACTCACTTTCAACATTAAAACAAACATTATTTGCAGGTATAAGGGGGCATATAATTACAACGTTCGTAGCTAATTATTCAACTGCTCTCTTAAGGTTCAACCTGTCAATAATTAATAAAGTGAACAATTTTCTTCAGATTGAATGCCGACTCTAAACATGTAGTCATAACAAACATCACCACGATAGAACAGCTGACTCCTATAGAAAAATATAGCTGCAAACTCGACTCAGTGTTAGGTGTGTGCCATCAAACTTTATCTGTTACGAAATTGGTTGTAATTACTGTTTAGCTGACTATTTAGGCAATTTTAGAGCACGAAAGATTCACGACACCAGATTATACCGGTTGATATGAGGACGTCATTTCTAGCAACACTTGGTCCAAGGGAGAGAGGAAATGTAAGGTCGTAAGAAGAATGCAGTATGCTCCTTCGACATAACGGTTTGTTTATTAGGGATGCGCTAGACCTTATGAAGCCACGATGCTTGCACTACTGCAATACAAAAGTGAGAGACCATGTACTGTCTCTGTCTCGAATGCATTTTTTCGCGAGTGGTATAACTGCAAATGGTACAGAAAGTATTGCCTGCATAGTGTGTCCATGGGTTTCTGGATTTTTGTGAAAGACATCACTGTCTATCGAGAGTAGATTTTCCGATTAGGAGCAGAGTACATGTTGCATAGAACTACCACCGCCTCAATTCGAATAGCAAGCTCACGCCTGTAACAGTCCCGTCCGCATGAGATGTTATTGAATGGTTTTTAATAAAGGTGTATTGCTTTTAAGCGGATGATCTTGTCACGGATGAGTAATATACTAAATTTTCAAAACATTGTTTGGGTGTTACTAAATTAAATCAAGTAAATAAATAAATAAATTTTCAAGATGTAGACCACTTTCAAATATAAGTTACAATGGTCGGTAGATTTGTATTAATGGAACCCTAACAATACCTTAAATGGCGACTATGCTTGTTAACAAACTGGAAGGTAGACGACAAGACAAAAGGTGTCGATCTGAGTTTAAGTGTGATGAAGCCTATCCAGACGCGCTGGGTCGTGTCGGCCTCTGATGGAACACTGTGTAGCATGGGTGACTTCTGTCTGGACTTGGTGGAGTACTCACTGATGACTAGTTTGGCACGAGTGATGAGAAGTCCTCACCACAGAAATAATAACTCACCGAAAGTCCAGTATGTAATGTCTAGTGTTTGAATGACATATTGTTCTCTATAAATCGTGATGTGGAAATAGATAGTTGTTTGTTTTTATATTCAAGTTGGTATTTCCGCTATTTCAAGTGTACAGTGAAGCCGTCTTACTAACAGTCATTTCTGAGACATAAATACAAAATGTAATTAATTAAGTCCACTCGCATATTTTGGATTTAATTAACTCTTGCGTTAATGTCAAGGTTTTCCAGTATGTTCTATTCAAAAGTAGTTAAAGAACACCCGATATTTTGCTGTTTCAAGTGATCCATTCCTATGATTCTCACTGCCGTTTAGCCTCTTATACCTAGAATTATTCAACATTTTGTAGTAGACAAATATGTTAAATATAGATAAGAATGCTATCTCGTTTAGTTTGTATGCATGCATGTGTTTATTTTCTTGTAGTGTAAGACATTATCAAGATTCACATACTTTATTTCGCAAAAACTCCACAGAAAATCCGCGGATTATTTGCGATTTTTTACGAAACTTAATTTCCCCTTTTGGGGGAATTATTAGTTTTCTTATGGGAGTTATTAGTTAAAGCGTTCGCTCGTTGCGCCGAAGGCCCGGGTTCAATTCCCTACATGGGTAAAATGCCCATTTGTGGTGTTCCCCGACGTGATATTGCTGGAATAATGCTAAAAGCGGCGTAAACCAATACTCACTCACAGCGGTGTTTATCAAGTTACTATATGCAAGTACATATACATATATTTGCACAAGATGTAGACAAGAGACTCAGTACAAGTTGATCATAAATCAAATGTCCAAAGGAATATTTACGGACAACGGTATAATTGCATTCACACTGTAACATCATATACTACTCAAAACAAGTTTAAGAACACCTACACTTATAAGACTGTTTTGCAATACAATTAGCAATGACTGATTAACCATAGTCAAATAAAGAATCGGGTGCTTTTGAGAAGAATATATTTTTATTTTAACTTTTGTTTTTAGAGGATATTGCTTCACCCGCCACGGCACTCGTGAAGAGCAACCTCCCCGTGGTGAGTGCTGGGTAACGCTAATAGCTCTTCCCCCGTGTGCACCCAGGGTAGAACATGTCCACAGCACTCCATTGCTGGTCGTAAAAGGCGACCAAATTGGGCAGCCCGTTTGTCGTGGGTTGCGCCCCTGTGTCGGCGAGGGGCGGGATTCTGGTGGTTCAGGGCACAGGAGCCAGGAACCGGTGTTCCATTTGCTCAACACACCACTTTGACCCTTACTTCGCCTAGACGGGTGGTAGAATTGACCCGATTCTATCAATTGGCTGGTCACGCCATGCCCTGTGTATAAAAACACGTTCATATTGGAATATTTTGATTGATGTGAATGTTTGGTATGCATGTTATAAATGAAAAATATATGATAGCAACTTGCCTGGGGTCCCATGCCAGATCAACTGAATAAAATTGCTGATGAATCAATTCCTAAGTCCTCTGTCAACCCACGTGTTCGTAAACCATGGTTTGATGATACTTGCAAACAAGCTAGGAAATGTCGTAAGAAGGCGGAGAAATACTACCGTAAACATCCTACTGTCCATAACTTGAACACTGTCAAAATTTCAAATGCCAAGGCAAGACGTCTATTCAAACAAAATAAACGTCAATCATGGAAGAACGATGTCTCAAAAATAAACTCTCGTACCCCTATGTTTAAGGTATGGAACATGATCAAAAAGATCAAAGGCATTGGATCAAATTCTACAGTTAACCATCTGAAAGATGGCGATACCTTACTAACTGATAAATCTGCTATTGCCAATAGACTTGGGAAAACATTATCTCAACATTCGTCTTCATCAATTACGTTCATGAATTTCATAAATATCAGCTCCAACAGGAAAAGAAAACAATTAATTTTACATCTGATAAAGGTGAAGATTACAATGAGGTATTTTCACTACGTGAGCTATATACTGCCTTAGGGCAAGCTCATGATACAAGCAGCAGGCGCTGCTGATAATATTCATAATGCCATTGTTATCCCCATACCAAAACCTGTCCGGGATCATTCTGATCCATCAAATTACCGACGTATATCTCTAAATAGCTGTGTTTGTTAAACTATGGAACGCATGGTAAATAATCGATTAGTGTGGTACTTGGAAACAAATAATCTTATTACCAATATACAATGTGGTTTCCGGAAAAAACAGAAGTACTATCGATCATTTAGTGCGTTTAGAACCGTTCATTAAAATCCCATTGTGAATAGACAACATGCTGTATCGATCTTTTTCAATTTAGAAAAAGCTTACGATACAACATAGAAACATGGTATTTTAAAATATCTACATGATTTTGGATTAAGAGGCCGTCTGCCTCCTTTTATATCTCAGTTTTTAACATACAGGCAAGTCCGAGTGGGTACCACCCTGTCTAATCATTATAATCAGGATCAAGGTGTCCCATAAGGCAGTATTTTGTCTGTCACTTTATTCAGTATAAAAATTAACAGTTTGTCAAAAGTTTTAAATGATTCAGTCGATGGATCACTTTTCGTGGATGATTTTAACATATCTTGTCGTGGTAAAAATATGCACACAATAGAAAGGCAATTACAATTATGTCTCAATAAAATTCACAAGTGGTGTCTAGAGAACGTGTTTAAATTTTCCAAATAAAAAACTAACTGTATACATTTCTGCAGAAAATATAAACCACATAAGGACCCTGAACTTTTTCGAAATGGCACCCCCATCAGAGTTGTGAAGGAAGCCAAGATTTTGGGACATATTTTTTATAACCATTTAACTTTCCTCCCACATATTAAATACCTAAAAGCTAAATGTCTGAAGGCACTCGATTTATTGAAAGTAGTATCTAATTCAAAGTGGGGAGGGGATCAAACAACCCTCTTACACTTGTTTAGATCACTGATCCGTACAAAACCCGATTATGGCTCCATCGTCCATGGTGGAGCCTGCAAAAGTAATTTACAAAAACTAGATACTATTCATCATCAGGGCCTGAGGCTTTGCCTTGGAGCCTTTAGAACGTTTCCCATTCACAGTCTATACATAGAAGCAGATGAGCCTTCTTTTAAACAACGCCGTCTAACATTATCTTTACAATACATCACTCAGTTATATTCTAATCAATCAAATCCAGCTTTTGAATGCATATTCGATCCTCTCCACGAAGATCTTTATAATAAGAAATCAACACTCACTCCACCACTCGGAATCAGAAAAAAATCTGCAATATCAGCTTCTAATATTAAACTCCAAGATATAGCTCCTACACAACTTATCTCATCACCTCCTTGGCAAATGGTAAAGCCAGATGTAGACCTTACATTAACAAAACTAAAGAAATCAGATACTAACCAATTAATTTATCAACAAGAATACCATCAATCAAGAAACACTTACGACACTTATAAATCTATATTTACAGATGGATCCAAGGATGGTGGCGCAGGTGCTAGTGCCGCTGTCATTGGATCCAGAACAATATCTTCCCGATTACCCGATAACAGTTCCATATTCAAAGCAGAAGCAATCGCCATTTTTACAGCACTAAAATATATCAGT